AGTCTCAGTGTAAAACATTCCAATTTTAAAAGACTTTAAAAACTCAACGACTTTAAAATTTCAGTCTCTTTAAAAGCTCAAAGTCTTTTAACCATAAGGTGCTGTAAAATAGAAAATATAAAGTTAAAATCTTATTGTAAGAGGGAAGAACCAATGTATAGCAACATTCTGGAAAGAGAAAGAAAACAAAACCAACAGTATAAGTTATAACTGACACAGTGTCATATATCGTGAATTAACTCCTCATCTTCCAAGTAACAAAGAAATTTCCACAGCACACAAAAGGTTTTTTTTTTTTCTTCTTTCAAATTTATTTAATTCTTTTTTTTTTAAGGGGAGGAGGTCCTCCCCTATCAGTGGATTTGGAAAGGGGCAGGGAGGAGACCAGGGAGGGAGTGTGGGATTGGGGAGGGAATGAGGGAGCGGGATACAGCTGGGACACAGAGTTAACAAAATGTAACTAAAAAGAAAAAAAAAAACCACACTCAAAAAAAAAAAAGACTTTTTTTTAATACATGCAGTGCTTGAGGGATCCACTTGCCTTAAAAACAGCTCAAACCTAGGAAGGACAGCTACAGTGGGTTTTCTGATTCTTGGTTGTTTGTTGTTGTTTTCTGTCTAAAATTTATGTTATGATTTGTCCATTCTAGTTCCCTAGGACATATGGCGTTTTGAAGGCCCAAGGTAGAAATATGAGACTTGTAAACCTGTGTAGGAGGTAAGAGTGTGAAACTCATGTAGAAATATGTATTTGTATTCGATGCTTTGTGGGATGTCCTATAGAAATTTTAGACAGTCTTCCAGGCCTCTTGGTGAATTGCAAAGGTATTTATCCAATGTAGTACTTTAATTTCTAACTAGAGTAATAAGACAACTAAATGAGAATAAGGAGAAAAAATTGGAAAGAAACTGTCTTAAAAACAAACAGAAAAACTTTGTGTCACTGGCTGCCTGAAAGATGTTTGTGCACCCTATTTGGAAGGAGAGCAGGAACAAAAGAATTGAGGCCATGAGAGGGAGTTCTAGCAGATTCCCCCACCCTCAACTTACACAATTCCATGTGACCCATGTGGACATATGGCATTTTTTAGGATCCATGCTTTCTGGTGAGTGCAAAAGTTAGAATACCTTGGAAATTCACTCACACTCATAGTTCTGGAGAAACTCTCTTGACTCAAGTACATCTCAAAGTTTGGAAGGACAGGTATCATGGGTTTTCTTTTTCTTTCTGAGATTTCTGGTGTGTTTCTTACAGAAAGGCAAGTCTAGTTTCCAACTAGTTGTCCAGTGGAAGAACTACCCATGCAGGAGATATGATGTCCTGCAATAATAGCTCAAGACCTCTGCTCATGAGCAATGTCAAAAGGAAAATGGACTTTTGAATGCAGGTTGTATTTATGGTAATTTGAGTTCAGCAACATCTTTTGCATGATCTTTGTGTGGAAACACATGACCCAGTTTGTATTGATGCAGTCTCTTGATTTAAGACTTTTCCAGTTGCTTGACCAAAGGGATTCTATGGACAGAGAAAGTGGTATTGAAAAACAGTGAGAGAGAGAGAGAAAGACAAAGAGATGAAGTCATATTCAGAGTCAGAGGGAGACAGAGAAAGAGAGAGGAAGTTGGTGTGATATTTGAGTGTACAAGACAGCCTGAGACACATTGTTTGGAAGGTATAAACCTTTATCGCTGATTGAGCTCTGGCTTCTAGCATGGCTGAATTGTGGAGAACCATGGAGCTTGTTGAAAATATGGAGAATAGCCTTCTTCTAGGCAGAGATAAGAATGGACGTATGGTTTTCTCATGAATATGGCCTGAGCTAAGTCCTAGTCCATCACTGGGATATAGTGAAGTTTGAATGTCTTTGTCAGTGTGCTTTTAGGGCACTATTCTGGTTTGATAATTTCAGAAATGCCCTCATTCCTTGTGAACTTTCTGCTATTGCTGTTGGAGAAACTTGATGTGTTGGAGAGACTAAAGTTTGTTTTGTGACTGCAAAGAAGTGCAGATATCATTGTAAGTCTCATGGAGGAAACCAGGTGTCAGGCACATTTAGAAACCTACCCATATCTCATTTTATCAGTGAGCTTCTTGGGAAAATAGAAAACTCTCCCAGATATAGAAAGCCAGAGCCCAGAGTTTGGGAAGAGCAGGAGTGGTCTGAGAGCTTATATGATCTGACCATGCTTTAATAATTACTGCGTTCAACACCCTAAATTGGAATAGTCCTAATATAATGGTTGCCAATGCTTTGTTCTTTCAACTCATGCTCTCTTTCTTTCGTCAGAATGGGTAAAGTGCAGAAGATATAGCCCTGAATTGTCTGAGGAGAGATGATAGAACCTTAAAAAGATTGCAGTGAAATTACTTAATACTATTGCTATATCTGAGGGCTCTTAACGACAAAGTTAAAAGACACATGAATTTCCCCAAGTGCTCATGATTCTTGGGTCTTCGTGCAGCTATAAAGAACTTCAATTCCTCCATCCTGTCCCTGAGGACATGAAGCAGGCTGGCAGACTGTGGATGTGCCCCAGGTTGAAGCTTGAGACTATTATTCCCTGTTCCTAGTTGGGGAAGGTCGTGGATTTCTGTTCATTAACCAATACCCACAGTCTCCACAATACACTGAAACTCTTTGTGCAAGGGCACTCCAGTGTGCTTGGATCAATGATTCCCAGTCAAACATTGCTGAACAAGATGAGTGAAAACTCACTACCACTGTAGTCTTACAGGGACCAAGGTAGGACACCTTTGAGTGACCCACATTCTCTGGGGAAGAGATACAGGTTGTCTAACCAATCCACTGCCATTTCTTTCGTCCAACTGAAGCTAGACTCTCTCCAGATGACTGATACATTCACTACTCTGCTAGCAAGCAGGGCATTGGGTAAGACAGCCTTTTTGGGCATGCTGTTAAAGATATTAGATACTGAGGAGATACATTGCAGTGATCAAAGGGTAGTAGTGGTAGCTCCATTGTTGGCACTGCGGGCACATTGCACAACCTGAGATAACAGCAGGAGATGCAGTGGACAAAAAAGAGATCTCTGCATACTCTAAAAGTTGTCCCCTGGGTGTCACCTTCCTAGAAAGCTTGAGTGAGCAGTATACCAGCATGGCTGATATACAGAGATGTCCTGGTGTAAACACTGCACTTTGCATGAGCCCTATGACACAGCTTCTATGTGAGTCTGGACTGTTTAGATAGTATGACCCTGTATTGGAAGTGAAGAGGAAAACTTTGTGTCAGTGGTTGCTTGCTAGTTTATCAGGCACCCAAATTTGAAGGAGTGCAGGAGCCAAAATGTGAGGCCATGAAAGGCAAATTTATGAGATATTTCCATAAATTTACACATTCTATGTGCCCTAGGATTGATGTCCCATTGTAGAAGCCAGGTAGAAACATGAGCCTTGTAGATCACTATATAACATAAGTTTGTAGAGCCTCTGTAGGATTCTACCCTTGCGTGGAAATATTTTTTTAATTTATATATTTTTATTAATTAAAATTTATTCACTTTGTATCCCAGATATAACCCTCTCACTAATCCCCTCTCAATCCCTCACTCCTTCCCTCGTTGTTCTCCTCCCATGTCCCTCTTCCAAGTCCACTGATAGGGAAGGACTTCCTCCCATTCCATCTGAACCCAGCCTATCAGGTCTCACCAGGACTGGCTGTATTGTCTTCCTTTGTGGCCTGGTAAAGCTTCTCCCACCTCAGGAGAGGGTAATCAAAGAGCCAGCCACTGAGTTCATATCAGAGATGTTCCGAATACCTTGCTAGGGAAATCACTTGGACAATGGGATGCCATGGGCTACATTTGTGCAGGGGTTCTATGATATTTCCATGCATGGTCCTTAGTTGTAGAATCAGTCTCAGAAAAAAAACCTGGGCCAAGATTTTTGGATCTGTTGCTCTCCTTGTGGAGCTCCTGTTGCCTCCAGGTCTTTCATCTCCCTTTTCTTTCATAAGATTCCCTGCACTCTGCCCAAAGTTTGACTATGAGTCTTAACATCTGGTTTGATACACTGCAGGTAGAGTCTTACAGAGGCCCTCTGTTGTAGGATCCTGCCCTGTACCCTGTTTTCTCCCTCTTCTGATGTCCATTCAGTTTGCCTCTCTAAATGAGGACTGATTATCCTACCCAGGGTCTTCCTTCTTGCTTAACTTCTTTAGGTGTACAGATTTTAGTATTTTTATCCTATATTTTATGTCTAATATCTACTTATGGGTAAGTATGTACCTTGTATGTCTTTCTGCTTCAGGGATACCCCACTGGATTGTTCAAAAACTGGGTTCTGTAGAACCATGCAGATTGTTGTAAATATGGAAGATGCCCTCATACTGGACAGAGATGGATATGGAGTCATCGATTTACTAGGAAATATGGCCAGGGCAGAATCTTAGTACTCCATAGGGCTAATGTGAGTAAAAATGGCCCTTATTACTGTAAATAGCCAGCACTGTTCCAGGCTGATGTTTCTGGAGGTGCTCTCATTTACATATGAACATTCTGTGGATGATGGAGCAACAAAAAGGGTGGAGAACAAAAATTATTTCTGTGAAGTTATAGATTCTCAGAAAATGTTGTTAATGACCTGGAAGGAGGCAAATGTTTCAAAACTGCTTCTATCTACCTATCCACATTCAATATTTCCCTGAGAATACCTTGGGACAATATACTCCATGGTCTGGAAAGCCAGGATGGAAAGTTTGGGAAAGGAGTGTTGACATTGCAGGTATGGTCTGACCATCCATATTATTTGCTATGCCATACATTCCCACTTACACCAAGTTTAGCAGTAGCTGCAAGGATCTACAATTTCTGCATTCTGGAACAGGCTGCTGGCTTCTGTGTGCTTAGATGTTTGAAGCTTGGTCCCGTTGCTCCTTGTACCAGGCTGGGGAAGGAAGTGTAATTCTTCTTACTTAACCTACACTCACAGAACCCACAGTTTCATGAAAGTCCTTGTAAGAGTATACTCCTGTGTGCATGGATCAGTGATGACTGCCAGTTAACATTCCTTGGAAAGCTGAAGAAAATGAGTGAAAACTTACTACCTTTCCTTTCATTGAAAATTAGGTCCTGCATCAGTGGGTCTCCCACAATCTCTGGGGTGAGACTCAGGTGGGCACACCACTCCACTGCACTTCCTGTTCTGCAGCTATACCAGACTGCCTCTAGATGGGCTGTGCCCTCAATAGTCTGCTAGAAGAGTTGGTCCTTTGGGAAGGCAGGCCTCTGGGGGCACACTGGTAAGCTGGCTTTGGTGTTAAAGAGATACATTGCCCAGATCCTAGGAGGATTAGTAATAACGACCTTGTGTGCTCTACAGGCACATTGAAGCCTCTGGAGGCTTGTGGCAGTGGCCTCAGCTCTCCCTACTATGACAGTGAGGCCTTGCGTGTCATCTTCTTGTAACTGGTGAAGTAGCAGTTATACTGCAGTGCTGCTAACCAGAGAGAGTCTGGAATCAATCCTGCAAAAGATAAGAGTCCTGTGACAGAGCCTCCTAGGGCTTGAGGGAATGTGGTGACTTTTGAGAGTAAAACCCCAAATTGAGGGAAAAGATTAAAACTGTGTGTTGCTGTGTGCCTGACATTTTCTCAGATACCCTTCCTTGAAGGTATTTAGGAGCCAAGATAGTGATTGCAGGCAGGAGAGACAGCTCTAATGTATTTATTTTATTTTATTTTATTTTATTTTATTTTATTTTATTTTATTTTATTTTATTTTATTTTATTTTATTTTTGTATTCTGGGACATTCAAACACTCCATGTGATAAAGGAATGATATCCCTCTGTTGAAGACAGACAGGGACATGAGCCTTGTGGACCCGTGTATGAATTAGTTGATTGGAATCTGTTTTGGATGATATCCGTGTGTGTTACCAACATTGCGGTGGGGTGCCTCTTTGAAACAGATGATATTCTTCTAGGAAATCTGTTGAATGAGGGCATGCCGTGGATGTCCTCAGACATCTAGGATGGAATGGCCTCTGTTGGCACAGGTCTTCTCAAAGTTAAAAATTTCACGTATTGTGGCTTTTTTTTTAACTTTACTTTGCTTTCTCCTGTGTGATTGAGGTTTTCCTCAGGGTAGAAATAGGGGTTTGGCTTCAATGTGAATGTGTACTGCAAGTAGCCTGTGGGTCATGGGCGTCATTCAAAACTGGCTTGAGAACTCTCCCCATGAGCAGGGACAAAAGGAATTGGCCTTTTGCTTACAGGTTGATTTGTTGGTAATGCCATTCCTAAAGGGTTGCAGGTCTGTAGGGTGATCAGAGCCTCAGTGGTTTACAATTGTGTGGGACCAGCAGGAAAAGTTTGGGTTTGATACAGTGTCTTGGCCTGAAGACAACTTTCCTGGTCTTTGACCAGAGGGATTCTCCTGAAAGAGAATAGGATCATGAATGATATAGTGACAGAGAGACACACAGAAACAAAGTCACAGACATAGTTGGAGAAAGATGGAAACAGAGACAAAGTTGGTGTGCTTTTGGAATGTACCTTGGAGCATGAAACCTATTGTAGAATGCTTAGTGTCGGCTGAGTTCTGGACTGTGTCTTGATGGTGTTGTGTAGAACCACGAGTCCTGTTGAAAATACAGAGGAGGACCTCTGTGGAGGCAGAGATGTGTCTGTGTGCATGGCAGGCTCATGGCTCAACCTGGGTTGAGTGCCAGGACTCCACTGGGGTATAGCAGGGGAAGCTGCTTTCTTGGACAAAAGGGTCGAGATTTGGTGTGTTTGTAGGTGCTCTCCTTCTCTTTGGAATTTCCGACAGGCTAGAGTTGGAGCAGGCTGTGTATTGGAGAGGGTGAGATTAGTTGTTTGCAGGTAGAGAGACTCAGAAAACTAGGTAAAGTCCCTGGGCGGGAGCCAAGTGTCAGTGGGGCAAGCCCTTCATATCTAGCCTTATGCAAATTTTGCCTGGAAGCCCAGGGACCAACACCGCGCCCTCCTTCTGATGTGGCAGGGTAGGTTGGAGGTTTGGGAGAGCATGAGTGGCGAGAGGGCATGTGTGGTCTGACCATCCCTTCATATCTGCTAGGCCCCATCTCTCCTTTTGCATCGGTCCCACTGTAATGGTGGCTTGTCCTTTGTG